TGCCCAGGCGGGTCTCGAAACCGCGGGCTCAGGCAATCCACTCACCTCAGCTTCCCAAAGACGTGGGATTACAGGCTGAGCCACCGAGCCCGGCATGAATTTGACCTGGAAGTTCAATGAGTTACATCTGAGAAGTGTTGACCTGGGGTGTGTGAGGGTCCTGTGGACTCAGAAGAGGTCTCAGCAGGGAGGTAGTTAACCCCAGAGTGGGGCACAGTGAGATGGAAGAGTGGCCTTTGTTCCCTTGAGTCCTGAGCTGCCACTGGGGACAGGTTTCCAAGGCGGGTACCTGGGTTCACCAGCCCTTCCCAAAGCCCTACAAGCCAGATGGCATTTGCTCAAGGTCACTCAGACAGGAACCACTGACTTTGGGGCTCCCGACTCTACTCCCCAGAGCAAGGCAGCCTGGGGAAGGAGCCTTTGAAGGCTGGCCCATATGGGAGCTGGGCTGCTGCTAAGGCACAGGAGGAGAAGCCCACTTGGTGCTCAAAGAGCCCTTTGTGCCTAGAGGCTGAGGCAGGAGCCAGGACTTCACCTCCACCACAGATGCTACAAGCTCTCCTAGATTCTTCTAGGTTCAAACGTCAATGTAGAGTATGGCCACCCAAGGAGACAGACCTGATGGCCGCAGTCTCCCTCTTGATGACCCTCTAGCTCTGGCGTTCCTGCCTCAGCAAATATCAAGCCTCTGGGGAGAGTTGAGCCTGGGTGGGACTGAGAGGCCCCAACTCCCTCCCTTAGTTAATAACTGCAAGGTCTTAGATGTTTCAGGCGCTTTCCGCAAGCTGTGTGCCAACCCAGAGCCAGAGCCGAAGGAACAGCAGGCAGGAGGCAGGTGTGCAGGACCCAAGAGGTAGTGGCCCTCACACTGTGCCCTCTAAACTGTGATTTCAAATAATTTCCCTGAGGCCTAATCAGTCCACTGCAGGAAGAAATCCCAGCAGGCTTGGCAAAACAGGTCAAGTGAGGAGGGGAAGAGAGTGGTAGGGACCAGTTACTGTTCTGACCTCAGGTTAGCATCAGATAGGAGACAAATCCAGGGTCACAGAGACTCATGCCTGGGGAAGTTGGGCTTGACCAGCTTCATGCCTCCAGTCTGGGACCTACCAGGCCAGGGCTGCCTCTTGCCCTGGAGTCCTGGGAGCTTGGCCAGTCCCTGCCACTATCCCTTGGGGATGGCTCTGTGGGGAGAGGCCAGAGACGGAAATTGGAGACTACAAAGTGGATATTCTGTCCTAGGGCAGCCGGAATACCTCAGAAGCCCTGCCCGGCTGGACAGGATGGGCCTGATCTGGGGAGAGGTGTGAGCTGCCCCCCTAGCCTAGGAACTGACAGAGTCCCTCTGCCTAGCTCTCGGCTGAGTTGGGAATTGGAGACTGGTTGTGCCCAGCATGTTGCCTCCCTAGCTCTCACCGGTACAGTGACCCTGCCTACCCAGGTGGCCAGTGAGAGAGTTCCCCCAGGCAGCTCATGCCTCCCAAGCAGAGGGTCCTAAGGGCTGGGCTGGCCCTTTTCCTTAAGCCTCACTTTAAAAAACAAAATCCAGCCAGGTGGCTCACACCTGTAATCCCATCACTTTGGGAGACAGAGGTGAGAGGATTGCCTGAGCCCAGGAGTCCAGCTTGGGCAACTTGGCAAGACCTTGTCTCTGTAAAAAATTAGCCGAAGCCGGGCTCGGTGGCTCAGCCTGTAATCCCGCGCCTTTGGGAGGCTGAGGTAAGTGGATTGCCTGAGCCTGCGGGTTCGAGACCTGCCTGGGCAGCGAGACCTCATCTCTACAATAAATCAAAAAATCAGCCGGGCATGATAGTGCATGCCTGTAATTCCGGCTACTTGGAAGGCTGAGGCAGAAGGATCGCTGGAGCCCAGCAGGTAGAGGCTGCGGTGGCCGGGAGCAGCCACTGCACTCCAGTCTGGGTGACAGAGTGAGACTCCAACTCAAAAAAAAAAAAAAAAACCCCATAGAATCCCTGAAAGGACCCATCCTTTGTGTCAGGGTAAGGACAACCAATGCCCTTGAGTCTGAGGAGATGCCCAGGCCACAGTAGGACACCAGTCCCTAGTCAGAAAGGGTCTTGGTTCTCCAGTGTGAAACCCTTTCTGTGGAACAGCCCTGACCTCCCAAGGGGCTGCTATTTCCAGAAGGAAACCCAGTAAGCAGAGCACAGGGCAGGGACAGCATGAGCAGGTTTATTGCAAGAGAGATAAGGGGTGGGAGGGTTTCTGTGTAAAGAGGGAGAATTCCTCTGGGAGAGGGAACCAAAGGCAGCAGGCAGCTGTAAGAGGGCCCCCAGGACCCTAGCAGGAGCCAGACATGTGACCCCATGAGGCAGCAGGGAATGGAAAACTGGTTTCCATGTCTCAAGAGCCAGTCAGAGGAGCAAAGTGGAATAAGTCCAAGATGGGAAGAGGGGCTACGGCCAGGGCAGGTGCATGTGGACACCTCCAGCATGTGCCTGTGTTGCATGACCTGGAAAAACAGTGTGTCACCACGTCCCCAGAGCACAGTCCATTTCAGTCACCAAAGCTTCACAAACCAGTAAGGCCGGGCTCTAGCTGGAGCTGCTGCTGGCTAATGCTCCCAGTTAGCCCACTCAGAGCACCCACCTGGCCACACTCGGCCATGTGCTGTGCCCACCATACCTCACTCCCCATCAGCCATGGGTTACACCGTTGCCCCCACATGTGCCCCGTGTTTGAAATGAAAAGCCGAGGCTAGCAGGGTCAGGCCCCACCAAACCACACCTGGAGCCGGGATCACCCCACCTGCCCACCAGCCTTCTGGGTATGGAGAGCCAATTCTGAGCTCACATCTTACTGTGGATTTTTAATAACATTTTGTGGTGGTGGTTGCTTTACAAAAAAAAATGCATCCTTGATTTTAAAAGCTTAAAAAATAGAAGCTGGCTGCAGGAAGAAGACTCCTTACAACACCTCTGTGCAGACACCCACAGCTAGCACCCTGGAAGTGCTGCCCTGGAGTTCTAGCCACGCCTGTGTACGGCAGCTCCCAGGCCCTTGGCATGTGCCTGGCCACATGCGTCAGGGCTGCTGGGTGGTCAGAGGTGCCCAGTGACTGTGGCTTTTCCTCAGGCCCTTGCCAGCCTGGCACCCTGGCTCAACAGTGAGGCAGTGGGCAGGCCATGTGTCTCAGGGGGTAGTGACACATGGGAGTTGCCTGGGAGGTGGGGCCAAGAGTCGACCATTAACCCTAGCACTCCTACTCCTCATGGGACCGTTATGAAATGGTCACAACAGGACCATTTTCAGAGCCAGATGTCTAAGTGCCCAAGGGAGGGGCAGACCCAGGGCCCGGCCAAGCATCCAGTGACCTCATGTCCACCAGACCCACAGCTGCTGCCACTGAGCAGGCAAGGCTGCAGCTCTGCTGTCACTCCAGGAGGACCCTCTGGCCTTCATGGACTCCAGTAAAGAGAACCAGGCAAGGGGTCACAGGTTCCTGCTGGCAGGAGAAGCCATGTGCACATTTATACCATGCGTAAGCACACTACCTCCTTGCCCCTCCTGCTCGCCTAATGAACACCCTTTTTTCTTGTTCCTCTTTACCTGGTAGAGCACCCGGCACCTCCAGCAGCCAACAAGAGCCCCACCAAGACACAGGCGTGCTTTGCTGTCCAAGGGATGAAGATGGCAGCCCAGTCAAAGGCCAAGCCCACCAGAACCTCCAGGTCTCATCCTGCAAAAGCTAAAGGTTGCCAGCGGCCCCCTAAGATCCGCAACTATAATGTGAAGGACTAACTCCTCGGCCTCCCCTGTGCAGAGACTGCACACAACCTACCCGTGGTACTCGGGGTCTGCACTTTTACTCATGTGGCATGTGGTGTGCATGTGGTGTGTGGGGGCAGCGGCTGCAGAAAAGGCTCCCAAGTGCTGCTAAAGTGACCCTGCTGACCAGAGGCCTCACTGACCAACTGTAGTGCCCATTAAAGCCCAGGTGCCTCCCTTGCGCATCTGCTTGGCCAGCAGAGTTGTTTGTTTGTTTGTTTGTTTTTTTGAGTTGGAGTCTCACTCTGTCACCCAGACTGGAGTGCAGTGGCCACTCCCTGCCACTGCAGCCTCGACCTGCCGGACTCCGGCGATCCTTCCGCCTCAGCCTTCCAAGTAGCTGGAACTACAGGCGCGCGCTACCACGCCCGGCTAATTTTTTGATTTATTGTAGAGATAAGGTCTCGCCAAGTTGCCCAGGCGGGTCTCGAACCCGCGGGTTCAGACAATCCACTCACCTCAGCCTCCCAAGGCGCAGGATTACAGGCTGAGCCACCGAGCCCGGCCAGCAGAGTTGTTTATCTGTCCTACTTGGGAAATGCAGTGTCAAGTGCTTGTGCCAGAGCCTGGCGTGCCCAAGTCACTGCCCATAGCCATCTGCACACCAGGGTGTCACGGGCAGTGTGGCCTTCCCCAAAGCCTGGTACAGGGTGGGGAGAGAGCAGAAACAACCCTCCTCCCATGCAAGATACACTTTTCCCCAGAGAGCACCATGTAGAGTCTTCCCAGGAGTGAGAACCTTGGATCCAAGTGAGTTTGACCAGTGAGACTCTAAGGCCAAGTGGGCCCCTGGACTTCATACATGTTGAGGTGCTTATGACATGGTGCTGGCAGTTACTGGCCAACCCAGGACTGCGGGTCACTGTGGTGCCTTCTCCATCCATCCCCCACACAGGACAACAGTAAAACATCCCTGCCTCATGGGTGTCTGGGGCTAGGCACCTGCAAGGATAAGAAACACACATATGAACTGACACCCATCTGCCTGCCACTGCAAAGGCCCCAAGAACACACCCACACCCCCTGCCCCCAGCAAAAACACAGTACAAGTCATTCATATTCTCCACACTTGAGCAGAGTGTGCTGCAGCTGATATGACAGTCATCACCATGATGTCTTGGGGGCTCATGCCCCCACTTGCACTCTCCCAGAACTCTCTCCTTTGCTCCCTGGCACTCGAGCCTAGTCGCTCCTGCTCAAAACAGTGTAGGGGTGTAGGTGGCCTGTGCCCTGCTGGGTGGAGTGGCTGTGGCTTTGCAGGTGCCCTCCGGCAGCCTTTCCCTTTCTGAATTGGGCAGGCAGCTTTCTGGAAGGAAAAGGGGAGAATCCTGCCCTGAGTCCCAATCTGCCCTGTGACCTTTGCAGCTTCGGTCTGCACCAGTATAAGATACACAGTGGTATCAGCCTGCCTGGCTCATGGGTGTTTGGGCAAGGCAGACACTGCAGGAAGACCACATAGCAGCTGTGGCACTGCTGGCCCACAATGCAGGGCTAGATGGCATGGTTTGCAAATCACTCTTGCTTGCTCCTGTGCACGTGTAGTTGATGTCCTTCATTTGCTCCATGTGTAAATAGAGGGTCTTGGCATGCTGCCATTTCTGGCACTTGCCCCCTGGAAGCAAGTCATGGCCTTGTGATTTCCTGTCTGCACAAGCAAGGCAGATCCTGTGGGCAAATCCCCAGCGTCCATAATAGAGGCCTAGGCTTGGTTCTGGCTGGCCCATGGGGAGAGCGCAATCCCCATTGCTTGAGCCCTGACAGGTTGCAGAGAGCAGAGCCCACTGATTGGCCACCAGCAGCACTGCCAGCAAGAAATGAGCCTGGGCCATATTACAGCACCCATAGCAGGGGGTGTCGGCACAACAGTCTCACCACTCCTGGCTGGCCCAGGATACCAGGCATCCAAAAGGCTTTTTGTCCTGAGGCTGATACCTCACCCTGAAATCAGGAAAAAGAGAAGCCCACAGGAAGGTGGTCAGGTGAAACCTCTCAGTGAGGACAGCAGTGCAGGGGTCAGCCTTAGGCCCCGTCTTCCCCTCGTCCTTTCCAACACTTTGTCCCACTGTGTAAGAGCCACAGACCCCGCAGAAAGGGAAGGGAAGGCCAAGGCTGGAGCAGCATGGCATGGAGTAGCCATCAGGTGTGGGGGTTGTTGGTCAGAGTGCCCTGTGTGGGTGGATGATGGGGCCAGTGCTATTCCTGCTGTCCTCCATTGTGGCCTGGCTAATGCTGCTCTCCAGTTTCCTTAGCCTCTGAAAGTAAGAAGGGAGGGCAAGGGTTGCCACGGAGCCTAAAGGGAAAAAGGCGCCAGCTTAACCTCAGGGCAGTGAGGCAACTGGACACCTGCCAAGGGACCCCAACACATGGCCACTGGACTGCCAGAGGCCTTAGTGTTTCTGGTTCCCCTTCTGTGACCCAGACTTCTGAGACCCCAAAGCCACACATGCAGTGATGGTCACCTGCTGGCCGCCCTGGACTGGAGGGCAGGCTCCACGGCCTCTCAGGCCTCCCAGGGAAGGTAACCATCCGAGAAGCGGAATTACAAGGAAGGGAGGGCCCAGGAGCTGGGAAGCAGGGCTGAGTCTCCACCACAGCTGCCCGTGGGTGCGCACGTGGAAGACTCGCAGCATCTGCCCGGGGACGTGGAGCAGTGGTTCCTTTGTTCGAATCACAAGGTGGGTGTCCGGGCAGACCCGCTCGCCAAACGGCCGAGCTTCTCCTCTGCGCTGGGGTCTGGGCGCCAGGGTGCGCCCGGCCCGGCTCCCCGTCCCTGTGACCCAGGAGATCGCCAAGGAGGGGCCGTCAGGGGGCCGGGTGTCTGCCAGGGTTCCCTGTCGGCCCTGGGAAGCTAGGCGGTTCCGCGAGGAGGACCGGCTGCGCCGCGCTGGGGATGACCGGCAGTAACCCTGTCCGGGGCGCCCTCAGCCGGGGTCAACGACCGCGCTCGCGCCGCGGCCCGCGCAGCGCCGGGGGCGGCCCCCGTCGCGGGCCCATCA